GCTAAGTGATCGAGCCAATGCATCACGTTTCTTCTACACTCTTCTGTCTACGATCTGTTGAACATAATCCACAAACTGCTGATGTTCCTCTACAATGAGCGCATCAACACTGGATTGTCTATGAGCGATGTCTCGTTGAAGTTCGGGAATTTTACCACAAATAGTATCGCGTTGCTTTAGGGCGTGAGAACGGAGAGTTGTAGTGTTGGGCGAAATACGGCTTTAGCGAAGGTATTTCTAAAATGCGGTTGGGTACTCAGAAGTATTCATACCATCATTCAGAAACCGGACGTAACTGTTAGCTTAGCAAACCGTTTGAAAAACATTAGGCAATGATTAACATCCCTCACCACGTGAGGCGACTTTGTACGTTTTAACAAGTGGAACATTCGCAGTGATTCATCAAGAACACCAGTCTGAGGCAAACAATTGTTTTCAATGCCTCATCTACAGGCCGGCACAATCATATAAGGTTAAACTACAAAGGGATGGATAGTGATTGATTCGGTGATTCGTTCTGAAATGATTCAACCGACGGTTAGACAGCGAATAGTTCGTCGCTGTCTCATTCACACAGATCGATTGAGGGTTACGTAATCACAATGCATGAGCCCAAGTCAGGGTGACGGCTAGGTTGATGGCTATTCGCCCAGGGGAGGTATAAAGATTAAACAAACTATTTTTAGGAGCATAATGGGGGCTGGAATATGCGGGTCGCAATGGCCTCTGAAGTGGCGAGCACCCTTAACCGCGTACCTTCCGATTTGCTCATTGGAACCTGATAAACCACAGTAAAGGTATTCGGGAGTCAATCTGGTGACCTGATTCAAATAGATGAGACAAAATACCGCTGGTGAGAACTCCAGTGCTGCCGTTCACCAACCATTTAGGGCGATGTTCCTTAATGTGACGTGACAGTTGACGAGTCGTCCGTCCAATATATGTTATTGCCCCACAAGTGCACTCAAATTGATAGCTAACGTAAGAAGGGGTCAGTTCCGGCAGTCTGTCTTTGTTGCACACCGGAACGGTGTTCCTTATCGATTACGTCAGTCTTTTTCTTAAAAGCTCACTAACCGTAGCATCTTTAAAACCAAACTGGATGAAGAGGGTCCTTTTCTCGACTACGCCCTTAACGACCGGTGTTATTTTGGGCTGCATGTTGCGCTAAACGAATCCAGCCAGAACACGCTGAGCGGAAATGGTTATCTGGAAAGTGCTTTCCAGGATTGTGGTTGAGCTATGTACCTTTCGAGCTGCTGGAGTTTACTGGTGACTTCTACTTTCTGCGAAACTTACGTTACTCACAAACATCCTTCAAATAATCTACCATCGCCCTTTGGACTTCAGAAGGACAGTTACTTCGGTCCATTGGGAAGTGACGAGTGAGTGAGCCGATCTGCAACACCAGGACAGTTACTGTGAGCTCATTGGCAATACGTCGCGCACCAAGCAGAAGTCATGTATTAAATTGCGCACCTAATCGTCAGCCCTCGGTAGCTCAGTGGCAGAGCAGCGGACCGGAAATTCGTGGACCGGGGTTCGATTCCCCGTCGAGGCAGATTTTCGTGTGGAGTTTAATCGTGACTTCTACTTTCTACGAAACTTACGTTACTCATAAACATCCTTCAAAAAATCTTATTTGTTGGAGAAACAGCTGCAAAGAAAGAAGTGAAACATATTGGCAATGAAGATGGTAAGAATGTACTCCATGACCCGTTTGAGTGCGGCTCTAGCTCTATCGGCTGGACTTTGACCCACACACCTCGCGGATGCCGATCCAAGCACAGCGAGAGAGTAGAAACCAATGACAAGCTCTTAAGCCATCGTGTCTAGTGGTGTTCAGTAAGGTCTAGTGGTCAACGGGATAGTCGGAATAGGGGTGCCTAAATGGAGACGCTCAGCTCTGCACGAAAAAGCGAAACGGAGGATGAAAATGGGCGTAGACTGTAACGCAGGGAAGGATTAACTGCAAAATTACGGCCTTATGAAGTGGGGTAATCCATCTTGGGTGAAAAGGGACTATAAGGGTATGGTGAGGTTCATTCGGACAAGCACTCTTCCGAAGCAATTGTATGCGAGACTGTCTATACTTATATATATTTTCAGCATACAAAAAGCGACCGATCGGTGACCTGCTCAGTCCAGCTGGCAGAAACAAGCGGTGTCACTAAACTTCCCTGGAACATGGTTAGTTAAATACCTTCCAATGCGGAAAGCCTTACACTGCCGTCCTTCGATTAGTAGGGAATTAAGGCAAGTCCCCTATGTTAAGTCTGCCGCATACGTCTCACTAATATCCTGATTACTGATATTTTTCACAGAATGACTGCGAAAATTAAATTCAGGCGGATAGATTTGTAATAAAGTAGCGGCTGGGTACCTGTTGTGATGGGACCATGTGAACACTCTGGATCTGTTCGAAGTTAGACACGAATGTATGAATTGATGCTACCGAGTAACGTGACGCTGAGAACGTCTTGCGAGTCGGCATGAGCTCAACGGTTCCGATTCGCAGAGTGGGGTTGCAAAAATTGAGGATTGGCCAACGGACCACACAGGCAATGGGGAAATTCTCAAAGGGACGTGTCAACTTCTGCACCTCTGGTGCTCAGCTTACCGGAACCGCAGAAGCAGGACCACAGGAAGTTCTTGTTTGTTTAGGTATGCCATCTATGGAACGAAATGCTCGAAACAATCATTTCCGCTCACAAACCTCACATATTTAAGTGATGGTCAGAGTGCACTATTACTAATTCATCTTTCGTCGCATGGATCTAGCCCTCCAACTGGATACGGACGTATGTAGCTCTGATCGCTCGCCAAACTTCGATGTCATCAGTGAAGAGTAAACACTTTGACGTGATTTGGCTCACTAGCTCGTTGATGAAGATTCAGATTAGATGCGGCCCCAGTACCGAAACCTGTGGCACATTGCATTCCACGTGAATTAGGTCTGACATGGATTCACTCACTCTCACCTCCAGACGCCTGTGCGAGGAAAACTTGCAGATCCACCCGAGAAGAGGGTCCCAAATGACATCCTAGAAGTTTGGCAAGAGGGGTACGATGGTACCACCGGCCGAATGCTTTAGAGAAGTCAAGGAAAGCCACATCAACTCATGCACCCGCATCCAAGGTTTCGGTCCACCTGTCTGGTGCTGATAATAGGTTGATGACGTAGGACCGGTTCTGGTGGAAGCCGTGTTGCTACCGAGCAATGTGACCGAAACCGTCCGCAATCAAAGTCTTCATGACCTTTGAAAGGACTGGCAGGACAGTCAATGGAGTTATTATCCAGCGTCTCCACATTGCAGGAACGCGCCTTTCGTCAAGGCAGTGCTGGAGCAGCCGCGCCAAGTGTAAAACCAAAACAGTCTAGCTACCACAATAACCGCCTTTGTGCGGATGTGGTCAATTCCGGGACAGGCTAAAAGGCGCAAGGAATGCAAATTTTTCATTCATCACGGTGTCTGCTGTAAAACTTAGATGGGTGAGTATGGTGGAAGGACTGTATAGATTCACTACTATGAGAATCGTAGTCCCCATTTGTATTCAGCGTGTAAATCTATTCAAAAAACGGGTCCTATAAAATGACCCTACAAAAAGTCCTCACAAGTTTAGTTGTACTATGCGCTTTCGGTTTGCTTGGAAAAAGACGACTGTGTTAGAACAGGGTGCCATACTGGAGTTAATAGACATAGGTAGAAACAAACAATCAAGAATCCGAGTCAGTGGAAGTGAACTCACGGTCTGTAGCGTGCAACAAGAACAAGATAGTAAAAGTGAACAGAAATGATAAAGTTAATCTGATTTGTGAACAGTATAATGACTGTTCCGTTCATCGCACACGTGACTCCTGATGGCAGCACTGACCTTGATCGGATTGTCATGGAGAAACACATGGTACATCTCGCGTGTGCACAAGATGAACTTAGACCTAACCGTGCTATAGTAATAATCAGCTAATAAAACTACACAAATGGATTGGTTAACGTTGTGATTCATTCTCCGAGCTGAGTAATTTAATGACAAACGTTTCACCACTTCCCTCAGTGGCATCTTCAGTGCACTGCTCCGTAGAGGAAAATTTCATGGAAAGTGTCGTCGGGACGTAGCGTTTGAAATCAGCCTCGTCGATCTGTGTCCCGTGACCTCTCTATGTTCGATATTTGGCCGCCCAGTTTCATGCTTTCTCAGCTGTAGGTACACGGGATCGAAGTCAATGCGGAGGTTCAGTGAATTCTCCGTAGAGAACTGTCTCGAGGAATTCCCTTCCTTTTCTTGTCTCTCCGTGTGCCAGAATTTCTGTTTTGTCCCAATTAACGTTGTGTCCTTCCTCATCGAAGTGCGCTGAGATCTGTGACGATACATAATGGTATCGACAAGCACGCTTGTGCTCTTGTATTCTCGTGGAGAGTTTTCTCTCCGTTCGACCTACATAGTTTTTGTCACAGTTCTCGCACTGTATCCTGTAGACGACCTTTTGGCGTTCGTGTGCCTCCAGTTTTTCTTTAGGTCTAGATAAGATCCTTTTCAAAGTCGTAGTTGGTATGTGAGCTATCATCAAGTTGTGCGGTTTGAGGAGTCTGGCTGTCTTCCGATACGTTTTTGATGTACGGCAAAGCAAAATGTTGCGCCGTTGTTGGTGCAGGTGCGGTAGTTGTGCTCCTTCGCACAGCTCGGAGAACGAATCAAAACGCTAACTACCAACGCGAGCTAGAGGTATTCCGAATCATGGCAATGGATTGGTTCTTCGAAACCTTTGCAACTGTTCACAAATGAGTCGAAAAGTTGATCGGAGCTATTCGAGATTTCACGGAAAAACCGGACAAAAGTCAAGAGAACCCCAAACGCACAGCAAAATGCGCATTAGTTAATGTTTGAATGAAGTTATGATTTTATCTTCCATTCAGAGATAGAAATTAGTGCAGCTGATTCCGTTGACCCACAGAAGAAAGTGAATAAGAAGCATAGAAGGGAAAAAGTGGTGAATCTACCTCCAATCCGAACAAAACAATGGCAGTAGTTCGGGGATCAGGTAGTGCAGCAAGTACACTGTCGACTAGCATGGAAAAAGCTGTTTTCTCCGCAAGGATTACAGCATGTGAAACGTCAAGTGAGCTCACGGTTTTCCCGAGGCCTTTGGGATACTGATCTGCGATAAAAGAGGAACAAAAGGGACTTACCTGTTCAGTAACAATCAGGGGAATACCCATCTCTTTGGATAACGAAATCTGAACAGGAGGTGCAACAGATGAAGTGAGATGAGAACGAACTCACCAACTGTTGCACGCGATGACAGAATTCAGAGGATCCCAGCACAGTGGGTACGAGTTTTTCCTGTACATCACACATTAAAAAGTAGGTGGAATTCGGCATTAGCAGAGGCATATTGAGAATTAAGCCAAGCAGGCAGCTGAAAGCGAAACGGAAGATGAAATGCAACGAAGATTTGGTGTATACTGAAACAAATACCGGGCGACGAAAAAGAACAACGGAGTGACGCGAATTAACACAATCGAGGTTGTGCAAAAAATATATACAGGTGCAGATATGGTTGGTGTTCGAAAAAAATTCCAGACTCGATGACTTGGACAGTGCCTGTCATCAGAGGGGGTGCGTCTTGTAAAATTCATGGTTAAACTTCACCAGAAAAAATGCAGATTCGCCAGAAGCCATACACCGGTCTGCTGTTCCGCAGTAAGGAGAGTTGTAAACGGAGCGAAGTCGGTGTCCTCGCCAGCAGTCAAGGTCGAATTGAGCAAACATATTTGAAATGGGGTAAACATCAACGCGATGCCTGAAAGGCAGATCGATTTGTGGCGCGCCGTCTCTTTTATGTGGTTGTAGAAGATAATCGTAAGGGAATATGAAAATAACGCAGGGCGACGATCATTCAGGGTAAAGAGGGGTAAAACGTCTGAAAGTCGTTAAGTCAAGTCAAGGAAGTGCTTTGTGCACCCACAACGGGGGTATATTCAGCCGTAACACATACGCTTTCAACAATACTGACTGATATAAAGGCAATTCAAAAAGTGAATTAATAACAGCGTTCAACAAAAAATTATCTTCTATAAGAGAAATGCCAATATCTCTGTCGTAGTCAAGTCAGTATAAGTTTTATGTACACAAAATGGTGCATTTTAAGCATTTACATTATCAACTGTAAACTTACTAATGGGTTCCCATCAAATATAAAGTTTACAATGGGTAGGAAATTGAGGATTCACTGACATTGATCAATCAACGACTCCAAAAAGCTGGACTAAAGCTTCGGGATTTGTATCTATCGTAAACGGGAAAGGTTTCATCAAAATTCGTTTCTATTGACGTAGAATTTGGTGTCCAAAGATAATAGATCGCGGATCGAGCGCGGTATCTCGAGTGTAGGTTCAAAGTTGAATAGAGTAAACAACCTCAGTGACTCGTGCAATACTGAGATATACACCGTAGATAATGTAAAAATGATGTTCGGCGAAAAACGCAACGGCCGAATTAAAAGCCCCGCCACATAGCATACACTCCACTGAGTGTAGAAATGTATTTCAATGTTACATAGCATGTCAGGTTACATTGTTATCAGCTAATGATTATTTTCAAAAATATCCAGTCTAGATCGTATGAATTATATGTAAAAGTACTGAATCACAACACATAGAGTATGCATGTATGCGACAAATATATTTAAAGCATCGCTGCATAAGTCATCTATCATAGAAGACGTGTACCTACCACTGTAGCGCTGCTTCATGACTGAAATGTCTCGGTAAAAGCGCTCACCATGTTCATCGCTAACAGATCACAAGTCCTCAGGGAAAAAGTCAAGGTGATTAGGTAGAAAGTGAATCTTGAGTGACATTCGAACACCAACAGCGTGGCAGTCTGCAATGACCTGCTTTATAGTGTCTTTGAAGTTCTCTGCCTTTGTTCTGCCCAACAATCCTGTACATCATCATCATCATTATACATGTCAGCTAGAGGTGGGGAAAAGCCTCCGCTATTGTGCCGCAATACATAAAGCAAATACATGCATAAATACAATACATAAAGGAAAAATAAATACGACAGTTGCATGCCAGCTAAGCTACTAGCAACGGATAGGCATCGTTCCGGTAAGCTATCAGCCAGCTACTAGGCAAAAAGAAACTTTTTTATTACGTTTTACCCTACGAAATGAGATCGTAGATGGAGGGGGGCTAAAAGTGATGAGGAGGGACAAAGAAACTCACAGCAGGAACGCCACTGAGGTCGGCTCCTTGCCATGTCAGCAAGTGTATCCAGCCAAACGTGTTCACCGTCTTTTGGACCCCAACCAGGGAGCCGTGAAGCTCCAACCGTGGCTAGCTCCGAAGTGAGGGACTTCATTCCTCTCGACTAAGTCATCGCTTGGCCACCTCTACCCCTCTTCCACCCACATCCTCGGTGAGCAAACAACGCACGTCGCAGAAGTCGATGGGCTGGCATGCGGAACACGTGGCCCAGCCATCGGAGCCTGGTGCGGGAAATAACGGTGCTGAGCGGTTCATTTCCTTTTCCTGGGCCGTAAACAAGGTGTCGAACACGCTCGTTACTCATGCGGTATTCCCACCAGATGTGAGCCAAACTGCGAAGGCACCGATGGTCGAACGTAAGTAGCTTCTTCATGTCCGCCGATCTTAGGGGTTAGGTTTCGTAAGCGTACAGTAAGGTCAACAATCCTGTACACCATGCCTTGAATGATCTCCACGCTTCTAACTCAAATGAAGTCAATTGGCATTCAAAAGCACTGTATGCCATTATCCAGCGAATATCAGGTCCAATTTGAATCCCCTGTTTGAGCTTCGTATCAATGTTCTTCGGAAACATTTGTTACAAGTGCTGAAAGGCAAAACCATCTCACTTTAGGGCTTTGAAGAAGTTCCTAATCAGACCAAGCTTGATGTGAAGCGGTGGTAGATCGATATCATCAGGTTGCACAAGAGGTGTTTGCTTTACACTCATTCCCCCGGCAGCATACTCCGTCCGCTCTGGCTACTTTTCGGTTGTGTACTGTTGCTGAGTTGTTCTACTGTCCTATAAGCACAACTAACAACAATATTTTGTGAAGCCTCGTTGATTACACAGTAGGAGTCCAATGACTTTGAAGTCAGCATAGATGTTCCAACAGTAATTGTCGTAGTTCAGTACAATGAGTATCTGTCGCATACTTTCGTAAGTCCCCTTCATATAGGTGGCATGCAACAGAGGCACAGTTGGGTACACATTTCCATTATGGAACAGTATGGCCTTAAGACTACCCTTGAACGAGTAAACGTCACTCTTCACTGATTTGCCTCAAGCCAAGCTCCTTCATCAGGACTTCCACGTTGGAACAGTAACAAACGGTTACACTCGTGTGCTAGAAACCGGACAATTTAACACCGCTTTCTGTGTACAGCAGCCATAGTGTGTGCAGCAAGTAAGTCCCACTGTCTCAGCCGGGATTCCAACAACTCGCCGTTGTTCAAAGCTGAATTTACAGAGCACGCTGTGTGGTTGGGTTGCGACTCGCAACCTCTATTGAGACCTCGGTTCACTTTGTGGCAAACTTCGGTCATTCCGATCTCGAGGACCGTATCCCAGCTCAGGCTATCTCCACCTGACGAGTCTAAAACAGGATGAAACCGCGGTCGTGGTGTGCTAGTGTTGGGAAGGGCAACACCCAAATATTTCCGTTCAGGATACGGTCCTCGAGATCGGAATGACCGAGGTTCACCTCAAAGTGAACCGAAGTCTGAATAGGGATTGCGAGTCGCAAGTCAACCACACAACTTGATCTCTAAATTCAGCTTTGAATTAGTTTCCGCTGTGCCAAACGTTTCTGGCGGATCTCAGTAGCATGATGTTCAGGGCGTCAGCCGTGAACTACTAAGCTATGAGTTCTACCCCAGCTCAGGCTATCTCCACCCGACGAGTCCAAACTCGGCGTTGTCTTTAGGCAAACCGAAACCGGGTACCAAAAGGTTCAGCTCTGATTGTTCAATAAGATGTGGGTTGACGACATCGGCTTCAAACTTCTCACATATATCAGAATCAGGTGAAGTTGACCATGAGGGGAACCACTACTCATCATCAGTGGCATGCTCACTGGAGGTACTGGAATATGTAAGGTGCAATTATGAGAAACAGGCCGAAAAGCTGATGGAAGATCGGGGTAATGAACTTTGTCCTTGTTTCGGTTGGAGATTCAAATGACACTGGTTAGGCAGAAGTAGCAGTCTGTCGTGTGATCCTTCGGCTCCTTCCCCACCATGGGGATTGCAAAGCGCATCTTGACTTTGCCGTTGAGCCACCGAGTCAGATAAAGATTGCACGATACACAAAGAATATGCGGCATCCCCTGTTTATCCTGATCTCCCGGTTTCATCCCGAAATATGCGGGATAAGCAAACCTCAATAGTGAAGACATGGGTCCGCACTGGGATTTTGCAGTAAACCGTCCACAGCGGTAACAAAAATGATTTCGGTCATTGACACAGCATCGCCTTTGAGCCATGATTAAGATACCAAGTAAAGAAACACAACTCTCAATAGATTTTGTTATCAGGTGGATACCATGACCAAGATCACTTTTTTATTTGGTTACAGGAGGCCATTGGACCAATCACAGTCGAGCATTCGGTGCACGGAACGCAACTGCTTATCTGAAATGAAATACTGATATTAAACAAAAACCAGACGTGACAGAAACATTTGGTTTGCATATTTGTAAGCAAATCACTTGGTACTACTACCAACAACCTATCTCATTTCTGTTGTAATAATGATGTTGAACAGCGTAATTGAAGAAAGACAATATCATCATAGCATAATCCGGTTTGTTAATTCTTGGCCAACTTTGTTTGGGTCTGGCAAAAGTCGCGCTGGTGAACGGAGACTGTTTCGTCCTATTGGGTCGATGGTATATTGTGGATAGAAAAGAGCCTAGGCTTAACATGTCAAGCAGGATGAAAAGGGATTTGAAAAGAAAAACGGACACAAAACAATGAACCCGCCGAGCAAAATTGTGTCCAGCTACATTACTCGCAAATGCTTTAATGCAACTTGAAATGTCATCGCCTTTGGTTTTCTCCAGATTACCAGTGTGGGTTGATACGGTTTTGTTATCTGAATGTACGAGTGTCATTCAATAAATAAGGTGAATTTTTCGGTGTAAGGACTTCTAACACAGATAGAAGCTTACTTTTTGTTTAGCTTTGTTGGTTTGCTTCTTTTTCACATGGCTGTAATTTCTTTTGCAGATTGAAAAATACTTTGAGAGTTTTAGCGATTAACAAAGATGGCCGACCAAGAAGCATGCTCCAGGATTGAACAGCGGTCAGTTATCAAGCTTTTGGTTGCTGAAGAGTGCAAACCAGTTT